GAACAGATACTGGATTCCAGGAAAAGAGGGAGGACATTGCAGTACCTCATCCGTTGGAAGGGCTATTGTCCTCAGGAGGACTCTTGGGAGGACGCTAGAGAGGTGCATGCACCGCTTCTGAGGCGGAGATTTCATGCTCATTACCCCCACAAGCCGACCTCGGCTGGGAACCCCGGGCTGGGAACCGCGAGCCGCTTGCTTCCCAGCCTGGAACGCATCGGCCGCGTCATACTGCGCGCTCCACTTCCGATGGCGGCGCTCCTATGCGTTCCAGGGTGGAACGCGGAAGTGTCAGCACGCCGCATAGCGCCACTTCCGCGTCCACTGACTATTTAAGGAGCTCCAGAACTAAGGTAGGGCGTTCCATTATTGGGTTCTATGCCCCAACAACCCAGGAGCCTCACCCTCTCATCTATCTGTGACAGCCTCTGCTACCCTGGATCAACACTGCCCAGGACACTCCACCAACCCAGAAAACACCAGGGGATCCCTACTACTAAGAGCAAGTACTAGTGTTGTGGGAGATTCCTATCTTGTCCATTGACACTTTCTCTCTGCCGTTCAGTTTGCTTTCAATTGGAACTGTACTGTGTTTGATACTGTCTGGTAGCAGGCTGTTACCCATCCAGTTAAAGTATTACCATTAATTTGCCTTACTACGTTTAGACTGTCTAAGTGGATTGCCTTGTACCAACATTATTTGCAAGATACCTAACTAGCTTATGATATTTAATAAGCACTTCTAAGTCTAGCGTTACTGTTTTTTGTTTTGTGGTATATGATGCAAGAATCCCAAACTCTCCGTTTATAAGGGAGAGAGATGCCTGGGATTCACGACTGATTGCCACACCTGGAACCAAAGAGGGATTTGGTCCGCAGCTGTGATCCAAATATAGCCTCAGAACTACAAGGGAGCATTACACCTGGTTTGCCCACATCTCAGGAGGGATTTTGGTCTACTCTTCTTTACAGAATTTCTCTAAATCCTTAAGGTTTCTTGGCTGTCGCCTGGCAACTCGAAGTTTAAGCTCCCTCGATTAATTCTTTATAGGATTAAGGTCTCTAGACTAGCTAGGCCACTCCATGACCTTAATGTGCTTCTTCTTGAGCCACTGCTTTGCTGCCTTGGCGGCATGTTTTGGGTCATTGTCATGCTGAAAGACCCATCCACAACCCATCTTCAGTGTTCTGTCTGAGGTAAGACTGTTCTCATCCAAGATTTTACAATACATGGCCCCGTCCATTGGCCCCTCAATGCGGCAAAGTCGGCCTGTACCTTTAGTAGAGAAACAGCCCCAAAGCATAATGTTTCCACCTCCGTGCTTGACTGTAGAGATGGTGTTCGCACGACTTTCGTCTTCCAAACACGCTAGAAAACCCGCCGAAAATCATACCATTTTCGGCGGGTTGGTAGCGCGATCGCAAGACGAAAGCCCCACAGGCCGAGGTGCGCAAACGCATACTGCCCACTCGCCATTGCAATCATCTGTAAGCCCTCCCCTCAGCAGGGAGGGCTTGCAATGATCGCAAGTACGATCTGCCTGTCCATGATGGGCAGGTCGTAGGAAATTTTAATCACCTTACAACCATCACACAACGGAAGTCGTGCAATGGTTGTAAGGTGTATGGGCAGCTTTACTCTTGATGAGCGCAGGAATGTGCCCTGCTGTAAAGATTTGTAATTATATGCACCTGTCACACACCTGTCTCCTTGTTGGCCTTTCGGGCTAGTTCACACCAAGCGCGTTGCAGGAGCAGAGCAGAGCACTTACAGACCGGATCAAAACTGCATCCAATGTATTCCAATGGTATTTGGGGTCTAGTTCACACCGCAGCGTTCAGTTCCAGAGCATGTAAAAAACTGCAGCAAGCCCTATTTTATCTGGAACGCATGCAAACGCATAAAAAATGCATGCAAACGCACTGGAACGCACTGGAAGCCCATTTTAAACTAAAAAAATTAAATTAAAAAAAAACATTTTTTTTTACAAAAACGCAGCAAAATACGCGGCAAAACACACCGCACTGAATGTGCAGAAACTCATGCAGATCTGGTCTGCATTTGGTGTGAACAAGCCCTAAGACAGTATGTAGGGCTTATTATAAAATGTTATTAGAGAATGTGAGTGCTTGGCTGCAATACTTTATCGAATGTGGGGCTTGGTGCACTATAAACTGTTGTACAGTGGCTTATTATGAAAACAAAAAAATCAAAAACATATAGAAAAAAGTTAAAAAAGAAAAAAACTAAAAGGGAACACCTGCAACACAGAAGGGGGAACACCAATTAGGCAGCAAAAGAACCTGCTGCTGCAAAAAAAGTAAAAATTATTTAAAAAAAATAAAAAACAAAACAAAATAAGAAAACCAGTGATGCAGAAGGAGGAAGACCAGTACTGTCACTGACACACAAAGGAAGAAAAAAAAAGGCAGCGAATATACAGCACAAAAAATAATTCTATATGCAGTACAGTGCACTGTACATAGCACTAAAATGCTGTATAAAGCACTGACACTTCACTACACTGACACCAGTTAGCTTTCCCTGCACTACACTGCACTACACTGACAGCTACACACCATATTTAACTCCAGCAACACACTACATAAGGCTGCAGTGTAAGCAGCCTTAAGGTGCCCATACACCTTACAATTTATCTGCAGATTTTCTGTGATCAGATGGAAAAGGTGCAACAGATTCCTCCATCTATACTTAACTGTGTGGATGGAGTAATCTCCACATGGGCCAATCTGTTGCACTTTTTCCATCTGGCCACAGAAATTTGGCTGCAATACTTTATCGAATGTGGGGCTTGGTGCACTATAAACTGTTGTACAGTGGCTTATTATGAAAACAAAAAAATCAAAAACATATAGAAAAAAGTTAAAAAAGAAAAAAACTAAAAGGGAACACCTGCAACACAGAAGGGGGAACACCAATTAGGCAGCAAAAGAACCTGCTGCTGCAAAAAAAGTAAAAATTATTTAAAAAAAATAAAAAACAAAACAAAATAAGAAAACCAGTGATGCAGAAGGAGGAAGACCAGTACTGTCACTGACACACAAAGGAAGAAAAAAAAAGGCAGCGAATATACAGCACAAAAAATAATTCTATATGCAGTACAGTGCACTGTACATAGCACTAAAATGCTGTATAAAGCACTGACACTTCACTACACTGACACCAGTTAGCTTTCCCTGCACTACACTGCACTACACTGACAGCTACACACCATATTTAACTCCAGCAACACACTACATAAGGCTGCAGTGTAAGCAGCCTTAAGGTGCCCATACACCTTACAATTTATCTGCAGATTTTCTGTGATCAGATGGAAAAGGTGCAACAGATTCCTCCATCTATACTTAACTGTGTGGATGGAGTAATCTCCACATGGGCCAATCTGTTGCACTTTTTCCATCTGGCCACAGAAAATCTGCAGATAAATTGTAAGGTGTATGGGCACCTTTATATAGTGTGGGGCTTAGACTTAGCTATGAGTCATAATTACTTTGCCCAATCAAGGCTCTCACAGTGCACTGTGCTGTGATTGGGCAAAGTATTGCACCTGACTTGTGGTCAGGTGCCATGCTTTAGCCAATCAGGGCTCTGACAATACACTGTGCGGTGCGCAGTGCATTGTGGGGCTCTCGGCAGGTGAATGGACGGCCGAACGCCCTGATTGTTTTTTGTGTTCACCAAACACAAAAACTAGCAATGTTTGAGTCTAACAGTTCGAACAATGAGCTCATCTCTAATAAGCAAGCCAATTATAAAATAGTGAGGATCTTTCCCCTGATCATCTAAAAATAAATCTATTACCAATTTAGTTCTGCTGCAATGTCAGTCTCATAGAGTCCATGTGTGCAGACACTGGCGGAACTACCAGGGTTGCAATGGTAGCAATTGCATTTGGGCCCTGGCGTTCCGCCAGCTGGGGGGGCCAGCGAGGAAGAAGAGGCCCCCTCCGAGTTCTTCCTGCTGGGGGGCCTAGCGAGGAAGAAGAGCCCCCCCCAGATTGTGCTGCTCCTTCCCTGCCGGTCTGCCACCTGCAGCATGTACGGGCGGCGGGCTGGAGAGGCTGTCACACTAGTCCTGTAGAATGCGCTGCAGGCACCATCAGGCAGCACAATCTGCTGTGTAAGGACCCTCTGCACGTAGCTCCGCCCACTGGCTGCCAAGACACGAAGGATTTATTCACAATTTAAATTGTTAATTGTGGCCATTAGTAATATGCCATCCATAATTTACTGCCATCCATCATTTACTGCTGTGGATGGCATATTATTAATGATCACAATTAACCATTACAAGCGAATACTTTGTAAATAAATGCCGGTTTCCTCATTAATCCAATCTGTACGTAAGCGCAGATACTGGGTCAGCGTTAACGACAGAACACCGGCACAAACATTTTAAACAAGCGGCTGCCTGAGGTTCCTCGCTTGCTGGGGACCTCGGCAGCCTTCCTGTTAACCATGTGGTGCCATGGCGTTGGGGGGTTAGGGGAGGGGCCTTCATGGTTTCTTGCACCGGGGCTCTGAAGGTTCTAGTTACACCTCTGTGTGCAGAGGAAGGCTGCCCAACACAGAATAACCAGCAATTTCCTATTGCCTATTCAATCTGGCTTGAAGGAATTGTGAGTAAATTATATTGAACTAAAAAAAAGGTAAACTGAGTTGGCTGATTTTGCAGATAACATTACAAAAAACTACTCTTAGTTTTTTCAAACCACACAAAAATATATCTAAAATCAAGCTGACTTGTAGCTTGTAGCAACAAAGATACTTTCCCGCAATTACACAGTTCCAGGAAACAGTATAGTTCTTATATTATGTAATGGGGACACAGAGAGCAATAAAATAAAAATGTTCTACTTTATCCATACCCCATCCAAAACTAAAACAAATAGTTGGCTGAAGTTTTTCTTTAGCTTACAAATAGTCAGTTTTCTGCAAAGTATAACTCTACAATTCTACATAAACATTTGTACCATTACCTGCCCTTATGGGTCATTGTGATGCGTTTGCTGGGTCTGATCTCCACTCCATTTTTAAGCCATTTGCCCGTCACTTTCTCATCGGAAACCTCACATTTAAATACAGCCTGTTCAGCTGCCTTTACTGTCAAGTCAGCGATGCCCTGTAAAACTTCCAGCTTTTTATCTGTAAACATTATAATTTCAATAAGACTTTTTATAGCTTAAATACACAAGCAAGAATAATTTAGGAATGGGTGCGGTACCACAACACTGTACCTTCCACTACAAGGTCTGCCTCGCATTCTCCGCCATTGGTCGTCACTGAGTAGCGTCCAATGTCATCTTTGGTGGCTTCATTTATAATTAAAATGTGTTTTTTGCCATCTTTTTTGAAGCGGTATTTAAATGTCTCCTCACGAGTTAACTCTACTCCATTCTTCATCCTTATAAAGAGATAAAGGCAGTACTTAATATAAACACTGGCCTATACATATATACTCTATTTTAATTTTAAAAGAAACATATAATATGACATATACCAGATCACTTGGGCACCTTCTTCAGAAACCTCCACCTCTAATTCCACTTTATCTCCCACAAAAACTTGCTGGTCCTCGAGTGGCTTCTCAATTGTAACAGGAGGTTCTGCAATGCACAGGAACAGTATTTTTCTTGCAAAAAAGGCTATCTATATGAAAATATTTCTGTTTTTAAAAATATTATATACTGCTCTTTTTACCCATCAGTCATGTACTATTGTATGTCTGAATGCCATTTTTGACACTGATACTATTCACCATTCAGCACAGGAAGTTTGAAGAATTTTAAAATGGCAACAGTTAAACAATCTATTTACAAAATGTCATGACTGGAATGGTGTCATTTGGTAAATTTGACAATATGTGCATTTATCGTTTTTTACCTCTAAGTTGCCCTTTTTATAACTTGTTTCCACAATGAAATAGGTAAAATAACAGTGATATTTGCAAAGGAAAATGGCAAAATATGGCAAAACAGAAGCACTTTTCTCAGCATTTTTAAATAGACCAAAAAGTTGTACTTCACTGTACTCTTATTCCCCCATGTGTCTGTCTTTTCAAAATGGCTTAACCAAAATGGCTTCCATATTGCCTTGTAAGAACATTTATTCAGAACAATGCCATCATCTGAAAATGCTAGTTCCATTCGTGTTATGTTGCAGACTTTCTGGGTCACTTACCCTGCATTAGTATGCAGAGCAGGGAAACCAGAGTGGAGTCAGAAGTAATATTCTACATTCTTGTCCCAGGTCAGTATATTAAAGTCAGTGTAGTACTGAAGCAAGATTGTGACTATGACAGCTAGTCGGCTAGCAATATCAGCAATGACATCCTCTAGGTTTAATTTATTTGAGATGGCCTTATGCAAAGGCACCTTGAGTTTGTATGTCCTGTAAATGTTTTATTTCTACTATTGTTAGAGTCTGCTAGAGCCAGAGGCTGTTAGCTATTCTCTTCTTGTGCATAGAGTTTACATTTTTGGTTTGCAAAATGGGTACACTTTAAGGTTATTTGTGGATACAAAGTCTTCACTAAAGGGGGTTTCTTTAAGCCATAGTTCTAGAGCCTTCTACAACCTGGTTAACCAAAATCCACCTACTGCAAAGATTATAAGACTGAGTATCATACCGTCTACGAACATAACTTAGAGTTATCCTATCACAATGGGTTTTCCAGTTACTAGCGATAACATACACTGAGGCAGTACCCACTCATGCAATGCATTCAGACTGTTGCTGATAGGATTTCAAAAAAGCCATAGTATTAATCTATAAGTAGCTATTTTATTATTTGTAATAGAGGATAATACCTTATTTTAAGACATTATTACAGCTAAAATGTCCACAGCTAATTTAAACTTACCTTTAACAAATAGTTCAGTTGTACACCTCTCATCACCAATTACACACGTGTATTCAGCATCATCTGCCAGGCTACATTTGTTAATTGTCAGCACTCGTCTGAGACCAATATTCTCAAATACGTATCTACAAACATTAGAAATAAATCATGGTTCCATTTTTAGTGAAATGTCTTCTTGTCACACAGGCAGTTTTACTTGAGGTCTGTGCAGAGACTGTTTACTTTTACCTTCTCACCCACCACTCTAGCTATTTATACAGATCCTTTCCATGTTCTAGCTTACTCATCTTGAGCTTTGTGTTTGCAGAGCTACATGTGAAGTCAAAGGTTCTCGATGTGTTGGGACCAATTCTATTAGTGTTTTTTTATCAAATATACTTATCCTGAAAAAGAACTGTATCATACCTGCATAAAGCTGTAAAATACAGTTATTTGTTTTGCTTTTAGAGGGTCTCAGTTCAAATGGATCTAGGAATCACGTATAACATTTAGTAAAGGGAGGAATATCTGTAAAAAAATAAGCCAAGGCAACTGGACTTGCTGTATTTTTCTTGACGACATTTCACTGGTCACCCGCCAAGCTTTCTCAATTCAGAAAGAGTTGTACAAACATTCTCTGGTAATAAATATGGTGAATGTTGCTCCAATCCACATAATCTGTTAATCACAACCAGGTGTTGATTTCATTTGCATAATTGGAGCTAGGAGGTGTTATTAATCTGCCCAGGTGAGAGGTGTTAAAACAGCATTGTATGTGGCAGACAATAGATGTCTCACCCCAACTCTATTCAAGCTTGGCTTCTCCATTTTTACATAAATGGCCTCTTTCACACCTCTTTTAAACCAGTCTTCCTCCCTGTCTAGGATACGTTCTTGACTGTCTTCAAAGGAGTGACCTTTTTCCTTTAGATGTAGGTATACTGGTGAATCCTGGCCAGAGGGTTTGGCTCTTCTATGTTGTGCTATACGCTGTAGTAGCTGCTGTTTTGTTTCACCGACATACAATTCTGAGCACTCCTCACTGCACTGGACTGCATACACAATGTTGTTCATCTTGTGTTTTGCATGGGTCTTTTGAGGGAACCAGTTGTTGCCTCAGTGTATTGCTGGGTTTAAAGCAGACAGGGATGTGATGCTTTTTAAAAAACCCTTATGAGTTTCTCAGACACCCGAGCTACATATGGGATGACCAAATTCTTCCATTTGTCATACTTTTAACCATCACTGGTACTCTTGGCATTCTTTCCTCTTCTTTCTGTTTTTACAAAACCCCAGTCTGGATACTCGCAAGTTTTAAGGGCCCCCCTGAGGTGTTTAAATTCCTTCCTCTTGGCCTCTGTTCTGGTGGGAAATTTCTCTGCCCCGTGGTGTAGAGTTCTGATGACTCCCAGTTTGTGGTCTAGAGGGTGGTGGGAGTCAAATAGCAGATACTGGTCCGTGTGTGTTGCTTTTCGGTAGACCTCTATTTCCTGCCTCCTTCCTCTTCTACTGTTACTAAACAGTCCAGGAAATCCAGTTTGTTGTTTTGCATACCTTCCCCCATAAACTTGATGTTATGATCCACTGAGTTGATATGGTCAGTGAAAGCCTGTAACTCTTGTTTATGAATCTTAACCCAAGTGTCAAAGAACAATACAGCAAGTCCAGTTGCCTTGACTTATTTTTACAGATATACCATGACCTGGATAAATGAGAACCTTCACAGACATAAAGGGAGGAATGTTCTCAAATATGATTTAGTTAATGTACTAGGTTTTAAGCAGTAATATTTTAAGCCATTAATTTGAATCACTGTAAATTCTATACATTTTAAGAGCACATTTGTTTTTGGCTAAATACAATTGGTGTGGTTGTTTGGGGTACAGTAGTTTTAACAACAATTAGAAATCCCTGGGGATATTTCTCCAGTTCTAACTCTAACCCCTCCCACCCCCGCACCCCCTTCCCTGGACAAATGGAATTCTTAAGGATGGGGGAGGACAGGTAATGCATAGGACTAAATGTCCCAGTGCAATGACTATAAGGGCCTTTGTCCACAGGCAATTGGGATATCAAGATGCTTTTGCATTCCCATTGACCTATATGTCGAGAGTAGTGGTTGGGGCTTTTACAACAGATCTAACCTCATCCAATTAAAATGGTGCTAATGTATAAAATGTTTGCTAAAAATAAAATTTGTGGTTACCTATATCAACCAATGATCTTCCAAAATTAAACACAAATTCTGACTGGGGCAACACAAAACTTAACAACGTTCACTTTTACTTACTTGGCACTAGGTTTTATAGCTTGTCCATTCTTCAACCATTTAACAGACAGGTCAGGGTTTGACAACTCTACTTGCAGTTTAATCTTCTGACCTTTGTCTACTGTATAGCAGTTATCTAATTTCCGTGTAAATGCTGCACAAGAAAAAACAAAGGCATATAATTAATATGTTCTAAATCTAGATATCTGTATGTAGAGTTGGACATAGACAACAGACAGCAGTCCAGTTGCTGATCATGCTTTCTGATCTGCCATACTCTGTAGACAGTAGACATGTGCGATTCGTTTCGTTCCGAATCGAGATTCGGACGAATTTTCGGAAATTCGGAATTACAGACATAACGAATGCAAACGAATCCGAATTTCCATTTCCGAAATTCGGTAGCGGTAGTTCGAACGTTCGTTTCGTTTTCGGTACGTATTCGTTTCTTATTCGTTTCGTTCGTTGGAGCAAAGTGACATTAGAGAAGGAGAAAAATATTTTTTCCCCCTCAAATGTCACTTTGCTGCAAACGAATGAACGAAATGAATAAGAAACGAATAAGAACCGAAAACGAAACGAACGTTCGAACTACCGCTACCGAATTTCGTCCGAATCCGAATTGACTTTCACACCCGAATCCCGAAAAACGAAATAACACAAATCCGAATTTAAAACGAAACGAAACTAAACAAATTTTTTGGCAGTGCACATGTCTAGTAGACAGTTCAGCTGTATCCTATGAATGTGCCTGTGTATGAGCAAGGCAGACCGCCATAGAGCAAGTACCTTTCTGTACAGAATACTCATCTAGAGACCCAAATAAGTCTAATCTGCCATGAAGATTTTTTTCATCTGCAAATATCTGCAGAGTCTGACATTTTAAAATGAAACTTTGGCCTCCCATTTAAAAAAATGTGATTCACTTTCATTTTTTTTGTCCCCCCTGCAAAGTCCCCCAAATACTTATTAGTCCTGCTAGTGAAGTCCACCTAATGCAGCTTCTTATGAAAGGGTGGCAATAATGTTGACTTGGTCCTAATTCACAGCAGCTCCCTCGTATAGTCTGTTGCTATTTGCACTACAATGGAATGAAAAGATGACGTCGGGGACATAGTTATCACCGTTGTCACTGCCCTTAGTTTGTCAATCAACACCTGGCTACACCTAGTCCTGCCCACTGTTTTCTGGATTGGCAGCCCGGCTTCTGTTGCTGAAACCCTCCACTATAAGATGCATGTGACACAAACAAAGGATTTGACTCAATCAGGGAGGTTAAAGGAATTTTTTTTCCCTTGACTTTAGAAGGCGTATGCATCACATAGATACTGGATTTATGTTTAGGCTGTCATAAAGAAGCCTTTAGAGTTACTTCAGATACACATGGATATTCTAGTCCTCATTCAATATTATGGGGCCAAACTATGGAATTATGCAGCTTGTTCTATAAAGGGCACATATAACGAAAGTTCCAACATTTCAGTCACGGAAAGAATGAGGTTTATCTAAAATGGACGCAGCTGGTTTATGTAAGGATAAACAGGTGCCAGGCTTGAGTAAGTTGTGGATGAAGCCTAATGCAACTTATTTTATTGTTTGTAAATTTTGAAAGGTTACTACATGAAAAGCAGCAAAGAAGTCTACATGTATAATTTAGCTCATATGTATTAGTAATATTACTAATTATATCATGCCTCCAGCAGAAATTTAAGGATTTAGTATGTTTGCTGTTCTTTATTTGCGTTGGGCTCCACCTTGTCGTCAAACAGCACTGCTTCCATACATTGATGTACAGGACTGTTTTAGTCATGTTTACTATATGTAAATGCTTACTCACATCATGGCTGGGAGGTCAATATTTTTCTACCGATGGCCCTGAATAGCAGGACACGAGCAGCCTCTAAAGCAAGTAGAGGGGTATGTTGAAAGTGCTCTGGAAATACAGGTTAGTACTTAGTAACATTTCAGTAAAAACTTAAATTTTTCTTCCACTAACATAACATTTGACTAGCTATTGGATGCTGATGTCCAAATAGAGTTCCACTCCTTTTGAGGTACAGCAAGCTGGAATTCCTATTTCCATTTGGTTGTGTTGGAGGGGTTGTATCAGTTAGTAATGATAAGAGATGGAAACAGGCACAGGAGATAAGATCAGGGGCAGGAGGATCAAATTTGTATTTGTTCTCAAAGAAGGTGAGGCAACCATAACTATTAGGATGCTGAAATATAGAAATGACAAAGTATTTTTTTGCAGATATTAAACAATTTATTTTCACAAAATATTTTGTTTCCCTCTTAATGTGTCAAAAAATAAAGGTTTATATTTTATACATAAAGTTTGTATCATAGTAAGGTTGTATTTAAACCTCCATGATAAAGCCAGAGGGCTGGACTTTGATTTTGCATTAGATCAGGCTCTTTATGCAACCTCTTTTATATACCATAATAAATTATGTGTCCTTATTGGAAAGCATAAGAATGTCTCCAAAGATACCCATAGTGGATTTTCTGTAGTAGCATTAAATAGCATAAGTTATGTTAGTTGTGCAGTTTGGTAATATTTCCTCATGGGGTTGCCCTGGGCCCCAGCTAATAATGGGGAAACAAAACATTGGTCACTGTCCTAAGGTATGATTTTCCACCCATATGAATTTCAAGATCTACAGTATGTTTGGGCCATTCACAGGAGATATGACAAGATGTCAACAGGCAATAAATGGGAGAAATATAATAATTCTTGGCAAATATGTAATTTTGGTAGCTGTCACTCTAGCCAATAAATGTTGTAGTCTTTCCTTTGCTGTAAAAGGCTATAATGTTGTATAAAGAGATGGGGATAGTTTTCTTTATATATAATATTGTAGTCTGAGGGTATATTGATGCCTAAATAGAAAAGTCAGGGTGGGAACTTTGTGAATGTAAAGTTTGTTTTTTATATGATCATATCAGATACATATAGAAAGGGACATATTAAGTGCATCCTACTTGACTTGTAGTCTGGATACTGCACTGAATCTCTAATGTGGAAGATGTTAGGGAGAGACACAATTGGATTTGTGAGGATGTCATCTGCATACAAAATCAGTTTGTGGTGATGTCCTGCCACCTCCACACCAGTAACATCTTTGTTGTCCCCAATAAGATCACCTACAGGCTCAATGGCCAGAACAAAGAATCAGGGACAAAGGTCACCTCTGGCTATTGAAAACTTTATATGAACGGCATCCAATGTAGTTTATGAAGGCCAGTGGGTTGGAGTATAACACTTTGACCCAGGTGAAGAGTTTGAATATAAACATATATTCCTGTGAAAAGGAGGCAAATGCTTTTATGATGACAAGAGATAAAAACATAACCGTCAGAGATCTTTGTTTGACTACGTGAATTAAATGGAGGATTCTGATATTGTCCCTGGCTTGATGCCCGGTGAAAATAACCTGCCAAGCCTATTTTTAAACTGGCAACAAATATATTTGTCAATATCTTGTTATAAACATGTATCCGTGAGATAAGGCGCCTCACTGCCAACTTGTTTTCCTTTTGAATGTTATTAAAAGTTAGTGTCAGGCAAGGGCTAAGAAGGTTAAAACATGTTTTATAGGAGTTAGCAGTAAAGCCATCTATTTCTGGTCTTTTTCATGCTTTTACTATTTTTTTTAGCTACTTTAACATCAGTTGGCATTATGATTGGGAATGTTTTCTGGTAATTGGTCACCAGTCCACAGAAATGATGTCCATGAGCTGGGGCTGATACCACAAGCAGTGGTATCAGCAGAGAATATTGAACCACTCAAAAATAATTTAGATACACTATATTGCCAAAGGTATCAGGTGTTCCGTGATATTATAACAAAGTGGAAGCAACTGGGAACAACAGCAACTCAGCCACAAAGTGGTAGGCCGCGTAAAATGACAAGCGGGGTCAGCGCATGCTGAAGCGCACAGTGCGCAGAAGCACAGCACTTATGGGAAGTGTGCTGGCTAATGTTCTGGGCTCCAGCTGGTAAGAGGAACAGAGCAGTTCAGGAGTCAGGAGGACACCACCCAGAAGTCAGAGGGGAGCCAGGTGGTTGTGATTGTGCGCCGGAGGCACACGGCCACAATCAGACTTGTGTGCGTGCTGGACGCATGTGGAACAGCCAGGGGAGGCTGGGAGAGGTCGGGAAGGTCAGGGACACAACACAAGGGACCTGGTGGACACACTGCTGAGAGAGTAGTGTGAGTACTCACAAGGGGTGAGCAGTGTGAGTGCACACAGAGGTGTGTTGAGGACTGTATATGCTGAGGAAAAGTGGATTATTTTAAGAAGTGCATGAACTGTTCTGTTTCATTTATGTTGAAGAGGAATAAAGACTGTCCTGTTTATGTTCAAGTCAGCTTCAAGACTCGTCCTTAAGCGCTCACCATATGTGCTCCCACTGACCACACACTCTGCAAGGTGCAGCTTGACTTTGATCAAAGGAATCTTGTGTCAGCTCACGCTGAAGCTCACGCAGGTTAGGCTGAGCCACATCTCCTCTGTAGCTTCTCCTTCCTGGTGATAATATTTTACCTGTTGCTATAGGAAATGGCACTCTGGCTGTGCTGGATTCCCCAGGAGACATATGCTTCACAGTTGCCATGAGAGATGACACCCTCCCCTTGGACACTGGCTGGCTCTCTTGGCTGTGCTGTATCCTCTTTCCATGAACGATAGAAATCACCAGCACTCCGTAAATGAAATTAAAAAAAGTCAATTTATTTGGACTAAACGTCACACATATGGCATAACCCAATGGGGTACGCGATATGTGTGACGTTTAGTCCAAATACATTTACTTTTTTAAAATTTAATTTACGGAGTGCTGGTGATTTCTATAATTCATTGACTGTTGTACACGGCACCATCCGTGATTGTCAATGCGAGCACCACTATTTTCACTTGGACCGGAAGCACTGTAAGGAGTGCAGGGGGACCTACTGTTTTCTGGAATTGGCTTTTCTGCCATCCTACCTAGCACCCTAGCGAGAGGTCGCCCATTGGATTATCTATACAGTGTCCACGGCCTGGACACCTACATTCTCTTCTCCTCATTTTTCTGAGTGATGGGCGTTTGATATTCATACTGATTTACAAGGAGATTCTCTTGTGAGTACAGTACCTACCTGCACCTT